TGTTTAGCAAATGTTTAGCAACAGTGCCATACTGTTATGTCTTGAGAGACATAATGGTAAAAGCTTGAGCTACCATAGCTCATTATGCGGATTGTAAATACTGACCAATGGTGTGTATTCTGGAAGGAAGGGTTTTGATTGGACGTTATGTAGCAATTGTGATTGGATGTAACAAACCTAATGTGATTGGTTGTTGTGCAACATTGTAGGTGTGGCTATCTCAGCCAGAATTGTATATAAGTTGCCTTTTTGCCTATGGAAGTTGTCTAGCTGGTCTAGCACCTACAAGGCTGAGCCTTCATGCTGTTATCACTGAAATAAAGCTGAAATCACTTGTTGAACTGTTCCTCCGAGTTAAGTGTCATACTTAACACATACCATTTCATACCGGGACAGTGTTAGAATTATCTGCTCTCAGAGCTCAACCTGGTCTCTGTGTGAGCAGTGTTCCCTCTAAACTGAGTTAGTGTGAGCTAGCTCACCGTTTTTTAGCCTCCGGCTCGCACATTTTTGTCTTAGCTCAGGAAAGATGGCTCCAGAGCAAACTAATTTTATGCAGCAGCCAAATCGATTGCTCACAACTTTAATGCCAGTAGCTCCCAAAGTAGAATTTTTGCTCACAAGACTCCACAGCTTAGAGGGAACATTGTGAGTGAGTCCCTGCACTAGAAATGCCTCCTTCAAATCTTTTCTGTGGCAAGGATAAAGTTAGCCTCCAGTATAATTTAAGAAAAAACAGTGTTTCTCAGCTATTAGATGTTCTGGAACACTGTTCTATAGCTATTTCAAAGCAGATGGGTACAATTTCATGATCTCACACACACACCCCTTTCATGCTGCTGTTTTCCTTTTTTATTTTTTGGATACAGGGGGAAACAACCCCATTAAGCCTTCATAAAAAGGACTTTTCCAGTCCTGGCCAGTTCCCTCTCAGGCCTGGGTTTTCATGACTTTCTCGTTTGTTTGTAGCAACACCATAACAGACGTCATTCTGATTTCAGTTGAACCGCAGCCCTCCTGCTTCCCAAACCAAGCCCCACCCAAACTGCAGCCAGTATTGCTGTAATCCTTAACCCCAAAGGGGTTGTTTATAGCAGCAGCAGCAGCAGCTGGACCTCAGGAAGCAAAAGAATTGTAGGAATGAAGTGCCCTAGGACTGTACAGAGTGGCTGGTGAGCTTGGAAAGAACATGATGCTGCAAAAGAAAACAAAAGAGCAGTTTGCACCAAACTCCTCCTAATATCCTGGCTTCCAAACTAGAAAAGAGCTAGTGTGTGCTAAGATCTATGCTCTTTGCAGGTTTGCTTGAAGGGAAAGGGGGGAAAGCCGAGATGGTCCAGAAGAAAGCTACGTCAGGTACTTCACGGTTGAACTGGAAACTACCCTAGGAGGTCACTGTGAAATATGTTTACACAACCCACAAAGTCCTCTTCAGGCACAGATTGGAAAAGGATTGTGCAACAACATATAAAGACTCTATATACAGGGTTACTGGTGGTGGGGGGGCACTCAGGATAGAATTCTGGGAGTTCCTGGTCATCTCAGGGACCCAAAACCTGGGCAAGTCATGCTATTCATTTTCAGATTATATTTAAATCTGATGGTGGTGGTGTAGGGATGGCCCAGAGGAAATCTTGCTCTCCGACGGGTCCTCGCAGTCCTGCCTCTAGATTCCCTGACTTAGTATAAATGCTAGGAGGCTGCCTTTCTGCCTCTGCCAGCTACACAGAGCTGTGCCTTTGGCTTGTTGCACTGCAGGTTCCAATGTACATGGCCGATACTGGAGACCAGGGGTCATTTCCTGCAGGAGCACAGCTCCGGCAGTAAAGAGCCCAGGGGGCGAGCACATGCAACAAGCCCCACCCCCTGCTCCCCCGTCCATGAATGTTAGCTGCATAATGTGCCTTTTGTAAGGTAAAGGTAAAGGTTCCCTTGCTCGAAAGCCAGTCGAAACCGACTCTAGGGTTGCAGTGCTCATCTCCGTTTCAGAGCCGAAGAGCCAGCGCTGTCCGAAGATGTTTCCGTGGTCATGTGGCCGGCACGACTAAACACCAAGGCGCACAGAACGCTGTTACCTTCCCACCGAAGTGGTACCTGTTTATCTACTTGCAATTTCTTGCTTTCGAACTGCTAGGTTGGCAGGAGCTGGAACTAGAGATGGGAGCTCACTCCATCATGCAGCACCCAGGTCTCGAACTGCTGAACTACCGACCTTCCACAGCCTACAATTCAGCATCTTAACCACTTGAGCCACCGCTTTTGTAGGACCGACAACTATTAAGAAAGCTGTCCCCCTTTTTGGAAGACTTTTTGGAAGGAGAAGCTGGCTTTTAGTTCTGGAAACTCCCGTTGGGGCTTGACTTTTAAAACACTGATGCAAAATGGTCTGGTAGTTATCAATCTGTATGTACTGAATGTTATTGCATATTGAATGTAATGAATATTTATACCTGACTAGGATGAAATAATGATACACTATGCACTTTACTAAATGATGACCATAAATAGAACACATTAGTTTGTTATAAGGTTTTTGCAGTGTATATTTATTCTGGAGAAAATGGCTGCTTTGAAGGGTGGACTCTGTGGCATTGTACCATACTGAGGCCCCTCCCCTCCCCAAACCCCGCCCTCTCCTGGATCCACCCCCAAAGTCTCCAGGTATTTTCCAACTCAGACCTGGCATCCCTACTGTTTGTTCAGACAGGCATATTTGGCCCTGACCTGGATAGCCCAGTCTAGCTATATTTCAGGCCCCGGTCACACGGAAGGTTTTGGCCCGGGAGAGGGACGGATCGGGGGCGCAGCAAACGGGCGCGATCTCACCGCAACATCTGGGAAGCGGCGCACACCCGTCCCCAATCCGGCCCTTCAGGCCGAAAACCCGCAGTAAAAAAGAACCACCCCCAGAGGAGGACTTATCGGGAACGCCGCATCAAGCGCGCCCGTGGGATCGCCGCCACGCCCGTCGTCCGGAGCAATCCAGGCTCCCTGCCGAACTGCACATGCACACACATGCGCAGTTTGGCTGCCTCGCTCCCCTTTCAGTGGCTTTCCCCCGGCATCTGATCGTGCCGGGGAGGAAGTGCGCGGCAGCTCAGGGGATCTATGTGATCCTGCCGCCGTGTGTCTCTTTTGGTGCGGCTTTAAAAAGCCGCACTTTGCCGGTGCTTTTCCCCCCCGTGTGGCAGGGGCCTCAGAAGCTAAGCAGGGTCAGCCCCCCCCCCCTTAGTATCTGGATGGGAGCTCACCAAGGAAGTCCAGGGTCATGACACAGAAGCAGGCGATGGCAAACCACTTCTGAATGTCTCTTGCTTTGAAAAGCCCACAGGGTCACCATAAGATAGCCGTGAATCGATGGCAAAAAAGCATATTTGAGTGTAAGAAATGTGTGTGCATTGTCAAATATGAATCAGATGCATTTTTTTTAATTTTTAGCTGTGTACCACCTTCATACACATAAGCAATAAGCATATCTAGAGCAGTCCCTTGCTGTGTATGTTTCAAAGGGAAATGTTCTAAAAATATGTGCATGGGCCCTTCATATTTCACAGATCATTCTTGGACTCTTTAACATGGCAAAGCAAGGCCTTCACTTTAATTAGTCTGTCTGGCATTCTATTTGTTTGTAATTCCTGTAAACACCAAGATATATAAATCAGATTTGATGCATCTCCAGCCCACAGTTTTATATTACAGGTTCCAACACAAGCTCTGCTACTAAATCATTCTCAAAAGGGGCAGGAAAGGAAAATGTAAAATGTATGGTAATATGTTATCTGCCCTGAAGACTGAGATACGAGAATGAAAGTTGGTGTGCTTATTCAAGGACCCAACTTCGGTGTTTCAAATTAAAATCCTTATTTTTCCAGCTGCATATTTGACCTTTTTTTTTTGGCCTCCTTGAAACATACTGAATCCAATAGTTCCCTTCTGATAAATTGGAACAGAATTTGATATGTATGTTCCCAACATAATAATAATGTAGATAAACCCAGGCCAGTCCCTAGGTCTGTTCAAAAGTGGAAGGGATAGGTACGATATTGTAGCACAGTATAGGGCCTCTTAGGTAGCCGCGGTGGCTCAAGTGGTTAAGACGCTGAACTGCAGGCTGTGGAAGGTCAGTAGTTCAGCAGTTCAAGACCCGAGTTGCCGCATGACGGAGTGAGCTCCCGTCTCTAGTTCCAGCTCCTGCCAACCTAGCAGTTTGAAAGCAAGAAATTGCAAGTAGATAAATAGGTACCCCTTCGGTGGGAAGGTAACAGCATTCTGTGCGCCTTGGTGTTTAGTCATGCCAGCCACATGACCACGGAAACGTCTTCGGACAGCGCTGGCTCTTCGGCTTGGAAACGGAGATGAGCACCGCAACCCTAGAGTCGGACTCGACTGGCTTTCGAGCAAGGGAACCTTTACCTTTACCTACAGGGCCTCTTGGAACACTAGGATTTACAGCCAAAGTACTCTTTATACAGGCGTTCTGAGAACAGACCAGTTGTTGGGGGTAGGGCAGCTGTAATGATTGGGAAAACATTATGTAGGAAAGGCTTTTAAAACAAAATGCAAAAGAAAAACAAAAACACTTCCTTAGTGTCACTGCTCTGATAAAATGGCCATCCCTCTGTGACTGCATTTTATTAAAAACAAAAATGTCTGCTGATTCAATCACAGAATTCAAGCACAACATGTAATTTGGCACCAACTAGTGTACTTGGATATGCATATTCCTGATTGGAATGGTAATGTATACTAAACTGGAGTAGCAATTCACAACCAGGGAAATTTCTAGTCTTCTCTGTTTCTTTGGCTCAGATTAACAGCATTCCAACGAGAAGCATAATTCTTTACATACTGTCCAAGTTTTTCCCTGTTTGGATTTCCCTATTTCCCCCTATTTTCCAGCAAAATACTAGTTTTTGAGGGCACATCTTCATAGTATCTTTTCAGACACCATGCTTTAACATATAAACATTAAGTGAACAATGATTATCCCTGTTGCTTACATTCCTGAAGACATTCCGTGTCCGTGCAGTAGGCCTGGGATTGCCGTAACTGAAATGAAGAAAACAATGGAATCTTGGTTTATTTATTTGGTTATTCAGATTTTTTTACCCCATTTTTCTCTCCAATAGAGAGGTTTACAAATTACAAAAACAGCTACAAAAACAAACAAGAACAGTAAGGGAGATCCGGTTAGCCTCTGGAGTTTGAGGGACAAGTCTTCTGAAGTTCTAAAACCAAAATCATTCAAGATGAGAGCCGGTACAGAATGGAATTTTAAAAAAACTTGGAAGAGATTCTACGATTGGTATAATGTAAATGCAACTGATAAATAAATGTAGTAATTTGAGAACGCAGAAAAGATAAGCTTAGTGGAGTAAAATAGATAATGAATTTAGAAATCCAACAAGCAGAAGAAATGAAAAAGTCTCTTGTTATATGTTATATGTTGTGGGGGGTAGATGGGGGTTGTTTGTATGTATGTTTGTATGTCTGTAGTATATAATGGAAAAAATAATAAAAGTGTACCTTCAGGTGCTTATAAAAAATAAATAAAACCAAAATCATTCTGAAGAACTGAGTGCTACTTGTTAAATGTTCATTTACCATGTCAAGTGATGTGGACTTTAGTGTGTTACATTTTTTAATTCCAGGAGGGTAGCAATGATAGTCTGCTGCAGCTAAAATAAAGAAAAGTCTTGTGGCACCTTTTCCCAGTACGAGTTTTAATGGACTAGAGAGCCTGTTTCTTTAGATACAGACATTTTTATATGGGGGGGGGGGATCCAGCAGCAGCAGAATAAGTAGCACAGGGTGAAATGTACTTCTGTAAGAAAATGTTTTTGTTGTTGCAGATGACAGTTCTGCCTGAGCCACTACAGTGCGATGGAATGTCAGACTACGATCTGGGAGATTTTGGCTGGAATCTCCACTCTGCCATGGAAACTCGCCAGGTGAGCTTGGGCTACTCACCATCTCTCTGCCTAACCTAACTCTCAAGGGTAAAATGGAGGAAGGGAGAACAATGTTGTAAACTGCTTTCAGGTCCACGCTGGGGAGAAAAGCAGGGTAGAAATATCTAAATTAACAAATGATATTCATTTGATAACAGGTCATTATAGCCCTAAAGAACCAACCTTAATTCTTTTTGACTTATGGCCAAGAATCAGGATTTCTCAAAATACTAAAGACCTCATTTCCACCCTTTTAGCAGTAGCAAAATATGTGCTTGCTTCACATTGGAAATTACAGACTCTCCCTTGATGCATCAGTGGTACCAAAAGGTATGCGAATATTTTTTACTGGACAAGACCTCAGACTGGATTGCGCAGCAAGATAGACAGGTTACCTCTACTAGTATTATGACCAAATGGTCATCATGGCTATATGCTTTTGCTGACCCAGAAGGAACTTTACAGAAAGCACCCTTAATTGATTCACATACCTAGTTACATCTTTACCATTAAGTAGCTGAAGGATCTTTAAAACTGGCTTTAACTCCATTTATTTTTATTTTTAATTATTTGAATGATAAGCTCAGAATTGGCAGATAACTTGTAACGGCAATCCTTGATTCACCACAAACTTAATGATCATTTTGTGATTGTTTTTCATTCATGCTTTACTAAGTACTGCATTGTATTTTATTGTAATCTTCAATAAACAGTTTATATATATATAAATGATATAAAAATCTGAAGGAGCAACTCCAGAATGAACTGGGATTTATTGTTTCATACCACTCCCTGACTCATTACAGATGTTAACTATCTCAGCAAAACCTGGGACTCTGCACTAGGGATGGGCACGAACCGGGGAAATTGAGGTTCATCCCGGCTCATGGTTCATGGTGTCTCACGAACCACAAACCTTTCTGTTTACCAAATGGGTTCATTTTGTAAGGTTCATTAGGAGGTAGAACAGCCCACCCGTGGGCTAGAGATGCCAGACTTGCAGCAAATCTCCAGCTGACTTTCCTATACCTGCCCTCCAAGTTTGGTGAGAATTGGATAAATGGGGGCCGAGTTATTGCCCCCCAAAGCAGGTGCCCCCAGGAAAGTGCTCTATGGGGAAATCACAGCCTCATTTTCAGGGCCCCAACCCCACTGTTTTCACACTGAGGAATGACTTCCAGTTCTCTTTCTGTAATGTATTGAAATGACTACATGAATTGCCTCATTCACCTCCCATGTTAAGCTTCGAGCCAGACGAAGGCTCCTCCGCACTGACATGCTATTGGTCGCTCGACAACAGTGACCAATCAGAAAAGGACTAAGTCCCCGAGTGGGAAGAACTATCATTGGTCCTTATCCGCACAACCTCATTGGTTGTTAAGTGTAAATAGGCATGGCTACATTAGCCCGGGAATGTTTAAAAGGAGCATAGCTCCCAATGTAAAGTTGTTGTGGTTATGATTGAATTCAAGCGCTTGTTTGTATCTGCAATAAAGCTGATCACTTTGGTTGAAATCACTCTCTGAGTCTTTGTTAGCGGCGATCTAACACTTTCCTCTCTGCATCTAACTCCCTCTCTGCCCACCTGCCTGCTGCCAAGTAAAAACAGCTGCTGGGGGTATATATCCATTCTTTTCCTGTGGATCAGCACCAGCAGGTCTGTGGCACAAACCACCAAAACGAACCGCATGAAGCTCCATAGAAACCATGGAGGTTCGTTGCAGGCACGATTGCACAACCCTCAGCTCACAAACCACGAACCAGGCGATTTTCATGACGAACTTACGTTTGTGACTCATTCAGTATTAACCAGCTTAGCAAAATTTGTGAATGGTCTCTTGTACTTTTCTTGGTGAGATCTCAGTGTTACATAATTACATTTCATACTGTACACCTCACATTTCCTGCTCTCTTGAGTCCTCCTGATTTCCACCCCCTCATTGTCCTACATAAAAAGTATGCAGAGAGTAGAGTCACTCATTTCATCTGAAGAATAACTTATTATAGCGCCTTAAATCTCTGTACACATCCTGGCTCGGATTTTCAAAATTTAGCACCAGCGGCTGTTCCCAGTTCTCTTCAGAAATATAGCAAAGAGATTCATAAATCTACATCAGTACAGAAGACTGTACATAAAACTGTGCTGATTAGGCAACAATTCCCAGGGAAGTTCTCCAGCACAAGTCCCATGCAGTTTCCATTAATGTCAAAGGAATATATATACAGGGCTGGGGAATGCTAGTATTTTCCTGGGTTTATTTATTTCCATCAAAAATCCCTGTGACATCAGTTTAAGAATGAGGAGTCCATTCAAATATCAACATAATTACAAAAGCTGGTCTCCAACAAAAGCAATGATAACATCTTTCAGTATCTTATTTCTTTACTGCTCAGCTGTTTTAGCTAATAATGTTATCCAGTCAGTTACAAGCATATCTAGGTCAGTCAGGAGAACGATTTTTCTGGGTCTCTGTTCAGTCTAGTTAATTTACTGAAATTATTGCAGGAATCATTCTCTCTCGTGTGTCTTTAATAACAGGCAAGAGCTAATGCACCAAATTTTCAATTTTGGTTCTTTTGGGGGGGATGCTGTATTTCCCGTGTAAATATGACAAAGAAACTGTTGGAAAACATTATTTATATTAAAAAAATATATTATTATGTAAAACTTTACAGAAACTGTACATGACTATGTAAAAATTAGTGAATAAGATCTCTGTAGGAGAGGCTGAACATGATCCGTCATACACTTTTGTGGGCAGTGGCTCATTATTATGTAATCCTTTCAGCCTTAAAAATCCCATGTCAGTAGTCACAAAACTGGGAATGCCCCAGTTCAAACTGAGGGCTAAACAGTTAGAGCTTTTATTTAAAGGTGGGGAAAACAAGGGGTATGGAACCAGGAGTTCTGAACAGAAGTGTTGGTAATATAATAATCTGGGTTGCCTCAAAGTCAATGAGGCAAGAAATTAATCTCCTTAGACTTTGGGCTCACAAACGCAAGGAAGATCTGGATGTTTGGCAAAGTTTCTTTTCTTTACAGGCTCTGAGAAGCAACTTCTGCCAACTGCCTTTCTTCGCTGCTCTACAGGCTGTCTTCTCTAGTATTCGTTTTTCCAGAGAAATTCTCTGCTCCCTCAGGAGAAAAAACACCTCACTTTCTTCTTCCCCATTTTTCCCAGTCCTGTTGCCAGGCTGCCACACACCCAGCCTGTGCAGAAATCACATCCCACTAGAGGGCAGTGCTCCCAGACCTGGGCTGACTCAGCAGGGGGAAAACAGGCCAACAGTGTAATTTCTAACTAATAAAAGATTTTAAAAAGGCTGATGGTACTCTCCTGAAAGCTGGGCGTTTTGGATTTTCAATAGACCTTAGATTAGCTTCGTACTTCAAGTTGCCTTTGACCAGTATCTTAAACCTGGTCAGCATGTCCACAGATATAAATTTCTATCTCTCTACTTAGCCCAAACACATGTAACTGATCGTTCCAGACAATTTAGGGGACATAATGATTTTCAGGACCTACAACTGGTGCTAAAATAATATCAAGATGTTCTGTAAATTGACTTTCAACAAGAGCAATCATACTCCTCACTCTTTATCATTGTAGCTGGCATGCCAGTTTTTACAGCATGTTGTTGTTGTTGTTGTTCAGTCGCACAGTCGAGTCCGACTCTTCGCGACTCCATGGACAAGATTTCGCCAGGCCCTCCTGTTTTTTGCCGTCCTCTGAAGTTTGCTCAATTTTATGTTCGTTGCATCTATGACACTGTCTAACCATCTCATCCTTTGCCGTCCCCGTCTTCTTTGACCTTCAGTCTTTCCCAGCATCAGGGTCTTCTCCAGTGAGTGCTCCCTTCTCATTGGGTGGCCAAAGTATTTGAGCTTCAGTTTCATTATCTGGCCTTCCAGGGAACAGTCAGGGTTGATTTCTTTGAGGATTGACTGATTTGATCTTCTTGCAGTCCAAGGGACTCTCAAGAGTCTTCTCCAGCACCATAGTTCAAAAGAATCTATTCTTCAGCGCTCGGTCTTCCTTATAGTCCAACTCTCGCAGTCATACATGACTACTGGGAATACCATTGCTTTGACCATGC